TAGTTGTGTCTTAAACTTTGTTGTGCACGCATTTTTGAGTTAATTGTGCACCTAGGATTGACTTAATTATTACCAGGAAAGTTTTCACCAAACTGTGCTGTGCTTAAACGTGCCTAAAATAAACTCCTTGGTGTCAGACTCTCAAAGTTTGAACCAGCACTGGTTACTGAGTTGTGTTAAATTGTACTACCTTCTTGCCTCCTGTGGATCATTACTCTGCTGGCCTTGATGGACACACACACACTGCTAACTTGTATTGAGACAAAAGGCAAGCTAAACAAATACATAAGATGCCATCCATGTATGTGTAAACAGAAGAGTTACACACTAGTGCAATCAGCCAGGGTCCTCTAGACCAACAGCGTATATAATGAATATGTGTATGTGTACGCACACACATATGTAAAGGGGATTTATAGAATGACTTGAGGATTCGGTGCAGCTACTCCAACAAGGGCTGGCTGTGAAATGAGTTCATTGGTCAGAAGCAATACTGTGCGGAATACCATGACCGTGGATAAGGCAATCTGTAAGTCCATGCATGGTGGTGTTGACAGAAGCATTGCATGCAGGAAAGGCAAACCCATAACCAAATAAGTATTTGCTCTGGTACGTGTGATCCAATGTAGTCAACCTGACACCAGGTCACTAGCTGAACTCCTGGGGAATGGTGCCGTGTCTGGCACTCGGCAGGACCTGTAGCCAGGTGAGCTTTAGTGAGCAGAAGCTTCCAGCAGAAGGTGTGGTCCGGATTAAAGGCGTGTCTTCACATATCAATACCTGGATTAGAAGTGGACCTTCCTACTTCAGATTTAGCAGAAATCCCACACACGTGTGCCCTCCATTTTTGGATTTCAGTTAATTTCAGATTTATTCACACTGACGTCCAAGAATAGCCATCACGGGCATGTCTTACTTTCTATTTATTTTTTATGTCTTACTTTCTTAAGGAATCCAGTGTTTTGTAAGTCAGTGACAGCAAATGCACTTACTCTTCAGGCTCAGAATGTATGTGTATGTCTGTCTGTCCATCTGTCTGTCTTTAGCTTGGCCAGATGGACTTAGGATCCAGAGACAGACACACAAAGCAGAGACTTTAGAATTGGATCCAATTCTGGCAGTGTCGGCAGGTCTGACAGCCATCGACCTCAGTGCAGTAAGGCACCATGCTGTGTCCACTGGCTCCCCAAGTGACTTGCGGAGCAAACTGGCCTTGCTGGCTTCCTGGTTGGCTCAGTCCCCTGACGTCTTGGCCACCTTCCTGTGACTGTTTTGTCCACCCACTGTTAGTGCTGTGAGTTACCCACTATCCTGCTAAGTACCTCTTCAGTATAATGTATGATTTTCTTTACCCCTGCATGTCATCAAGAACATGGTTGGCCCAAGTCTAAAAAGTTCTGTTGGTGACAGTTTGTCTCTGAGGAGTGAATGCATAAGAACTTTTCTAGCTGGGTGGTGGTGTTGCACACCTTTAATCCTAGCACTAGGGAGGCAGAGACAGGCAGATCTCTGAATTGGAGGCCACAGAAGCCCTGTCTTTAAAAAATAAGTAAATGGAAAAGAAAAACGTTTTAACTCTTGCATATTATCAGAAGAAACACCAGAGATTGTCCATTTTGAGAAATAAATCAATTCTACTTTGAGCCATTTAGGGGTTACCTCCCTTCAAGGTTGAACCTGAACCCCAGGCATTTCTGGACCTCAGTTTTCCTGCTCATTTTGTTCTTTCAAAGGCCCTATGAGCTGGACATGGTGGCGCAGGCCTTTAATCTCAGTTCTCTGGGAGCACTGGCAGGATGATCTCTGTGAGTTCCAGGACAGCTAGGGCTACATAGAGACCTGTCCCCCCCCCCCCCAAGGTTTCTGACTCACACAGGACAGCCTGGTCTACAAAGCAAGTTCCAGAATAGACAGAACTAAACAATGAAACCCTATCTCAAGAGAGAGAGAGAAGAAAAAAGAAGGAAAAAGGAATTAACAATCATCAGGGAATTCTAGAGGGGAAGGTTAATGTGCCATGGTACATTTTTAGGTGGTAGTAAAGAGCTAAAACGTTTATTTTCAGTAAAATTATGAATAGGGCATGGATTGTTTAAATCAGCATTCCACTTCTTTTTTTCCCAGCATACACAGAGGCTACTAGGCAACAGTCAGGGAGAAGCTGATGGTTCTTGATCAGATAGCAGGTAGCCAGGTGCTGCAGTTTCTGTGGGCCTAGGTCTGGAGTTTTGCTTTAGGCAGTAGAAACAAAGAAGGAACCCAAGCCTCTAATTATCAATTTCATGGTGTGCTGTTATCAGCCATTCTTATCACAGGTGTCGTGGGGTAAAACCAGAGCAGCAGCTTGGGCAGGTAGTAACTCTGCCTCCTTGGAGATCTGTGAATATCTTAAATGAGATGCTCTATGCCTGGACCCTAAGCACTGACCAAATGCCAGCTGATAAAGATAATTGCAGGAAGGCAGATCTCTGTGCTTACCCAGGAGAGAGGAATGAAGGCCTGGCAGTGGAAAACTTCTGAACTGGGGAATTTATTCCCAAATATGTAACAGAAAGGGAGTTAGCTACAGTGAAAATGTACAGCAAAGGACAGCCACTTTATTCACAAAACAGTTGTGGTTTAGCCCTTACCAGATCCCTTGTTTCTGATAAGTTGCTCTTGAAAAGATGGCTGAGCAATTACTGTACAATGTTGCGGCTTGTAGCAGTCTTGACTGTTTCTCTCTCATGGAGAGATGGTTCTAGATCTTGAAGAAGAGATTTGAGCATGCCGGTGATAACCCATCAAAATGGAGGCTGTTACAGTTGCTGAGAGCTTGCCTGGGGTTGCAGACCACCAGCCATGCCTTGCTTTGCATGCTAGTAATCTCAAATCCCCATGCTTGGGTATTAAACACTTTAGCTTCCCATTTCCCCAATCCAGTTTAGGTTTTGGTTTTGTTTTGGGGGGGGGAAAAAAGTGCTCACTCTATTCACCTAGCTGGTGATCTGTGAAATCAAGGCTGGGATTAAAAACCAGCACCAGGGTGTATCCCACCCCCTGTCTCCTCCTTCATCCTCCCCTTTGATGTTTGGTTTTCTATGGACCAACCCTGAGCAATAATTACCTCAGGAAGTTAAAAAAAAAAAAAAAAGTGTTCAGAGTGTCGAAAATTTGACTCAAGGATAAATTGGAGTAAATGTAAATTTTAAAATTAGCATTATATTTCATGATTTAGAAGTTATTTTTATTCTATAATATTTCACTTTTGTTTTAATATTCCATTAAAATAAAAATACAGAAATTATAATAAACAAGTATCATATTTTAAAGTCAAGGTTTCAAAGCTTAAAATCAAGTCAGAAATGGTGGCTCCCACCTGATGCTGCAGCACTGACAGGTGGAGGCAGAAGGATTGCCATGACCTACAGAGTGAGTTCTAGGCCAGGCCATCTCAACAACATAAGATCTGAATAACTTTGGATAACATCTGTGCATTTAGTCATCCAATCACTTATTTAAATTGTTTTTGTCTTGTGTGCGTATGTGTGCCCGAGTGTATGCATGTGCCCCATGTTTGTGCAGAAGAGGTTTCCAATCCCCTGAGTTATAGACAGTCGTGAGTATTCACGTGGTGCTGGGAACCAAACCGAGGCCCTCTGCAAGAGCAGGAATCACCCTTAAGCACCGAGCTATCTCTCTAGACCCTAATTCATTCATTCATTCATTCATTCATTCATTCATTCAAAGACAGGCTTTCACATAGCCCAGGCTGGCCTTAATCCTTTTACCTCCACCTCTTGAGTTCTGGGATTACAACTGTGCACCAAAACACCTGGCTTTGTATAACATTATTTTAATTCGACTTTTTGAAAAATTAAATGATTGCAACTTAGCATTCTCAAACCAAAGGCCAGAGCACAATGACAGAGTAGTTAAGTTCCTTTGTCTATGGAACGATGTCCACCATTGTGTTAGCTGCTTGTGATTAGCTGCGGCTGAATTTTGTTTTCTTCTGACATAGGAATGTACCAGAAATGGCTCAAGTTAAGTTCACCTGTGCATGGGGTGATGCAAGTGTGTGGCTCTGTCTACCTTTACAGCTGATTTACTAAAGAACTTTTCAGATCAGTATTCTTTATAATATACAAAACAATTTTTTTATTGATTCTTTGGAAATTTCATATCATGCACCCTAATCCCATTTACCTCCTCATCCCTCCATAGCCTTCCCCCACCCAACCACATTCCCTCAGAACCCCTCCAGACGAATTAAAAACAAAATAACACCAACAGAAAGCCTACCTGGCTCCTCCTCTTTCCAACACATCTTCATTCATCCCAGTGGGTGCTTCGGTGTGTCAGGCAGCATATACCCTTTTGTCCAGTCAGCCCCACCCACAAAATATTCGTTGCCTCTGGCAAACCCTCATCACTGGACCCTCACTGGAACTCCTCGTGGATGTCCTGCTGTTGCCCCCAAGTCATGGAGATTCCACAGGACCAGTCCCTTCATGCCATAGATGGGGTCTTAGGGTGGGTCTGGATGATAGCTGAGCAGGTTGGCCTGGGCCACTGGGACTGCCCACCTCAGGCGAAGGGCATGACCAGCTCTCCTAGGCCTACGCTATCCTGGTCAGCACATGGCGAGGGGTGAGGCAGGGCCAGCCCTCCTGCTGCACTGTCCAGGGAAGGGCAGGTCAGCTCTTCTGCAGGGTCAGTGAGGGGCAGCGCCAGCTCAACCTGGCCCTCGGATTTTGACACGCATGGTTCCTATAACCCCCTGTGGGAACAAGGGCCATGGACACCATCACAGACACCCCAGCTGCCCCAGTAAAATGGACCCAGACATGGCCCTTGTAACTTGGGCCCAGATGTTGCCATGGCCCCTGTGGCAGCACAGGCCCTTGAACATCAACATGGTCTCAGGTGGCTGTCCAGACCCTAGACATCCATACAACCCTTCGTGGTAACAGGAGTCACGGATACCAACTCAACCCCGAGTGCTGTCATTAAAGGTGTATGCTGTTATCCACTTTTATTTTTACATTTATTTATGGTATGTGGGAAGGGGGTGGGTCACATGACCATGGAGGTCAGTGGACAATTATGTCAGAGTCATTTCTCCCCTTCCGCCATGTGGGTCTCAAGGAATCAAACTCAGGTTGTCGGTCTCGGCAGCAAGTACTCCACCCACTGAGCCATCCTGATGCCTCTAGCATCCCTTGATGGGGGGTACCAATCAACATCTCCCTCATCACGAGGCTCAGATGAGTGAAGTGGGTGGTTCTCTGTGCAGGCACTTCATGCATGGGAGGGCATCCCGTGCTCATTAACCGTTAGGTCATCTCCCCTGCCCTGACCAGGGACAACCCATTTCTAATGCCTCTGAACTGAATGACTGAGCTATCCATATCTCCTCACTCCAGCTCTCTTTGATGTCCTTACGGGCCAGTCCTACAATTTTTGTTGCCCACAGCCAATCTGTTTTGTTTATTAAATATCCGGTTCCTTGCGTCTTTAAGTGGAACACTGAAGATGGTTCTTGAAGTAGTGGAGAGCGAGCTTGAATTGGACCTGTGCGTTGGTGTTGGCCCGGTATTTGCTGTAAGACTCTTCCATGGCCGCCATCTCTGGATCCTTGTCCCGTGACCGTGACTGATGCTGTACAGTCACCTCTGGGCACGAGCCCACCAACAGGCTCCCCAGCCCATCAATGAAGAACTCTGCCAAGAGAGGAGGACCGGGAGACAAAGGGAGCTGCAGTCAGCCAGCCGGGCTTTCCCACCCACACTTGAGGAGGACACCTGGTTCCTAACCATAGGGAAGCTGGGCACCGTGTGGACCCACACATCCGGCTCCTGGGAGTCCCGGGGTTAGAAGAAACAGATAACCGGGTTTCTCAATTAGGAGTGTGGGCAGAGGTACCACTGGGTTCCATTAAATGGTCCTGTGGGCTCTGGAGTGGAAGGGGGGAAGGGAGGGTGCAGTCACCAGGTGCAGTTTTAGGTGGCAAAGACTTTCTGAGAGAAGAATGGGAGGCAGGGTCGGGAAAAGTAAAGGACAGCCTTGGGGAAAAGGAAGTGGGGTGTCTCAAACGGGCAGAGGCAGCCTAGAGGAGACCCTGAGAGGTGAGGGAGGCAAGAGACCGTGAGTTCCATAGTCTGGGGTGAAAGGGGCAGGAGATCGATCCCTGGGGTAGCGAGAAGGGCTTTCCCAGGAGAACCCCGCTCCACTCCCTGCATCACCCCTTCCAAGCCTCCCACCTGAGTGAGCCACTCGTTGCAGACGGGGATCAAAACCAACTCTTCGGAGTTGTTCCGTGTGAGCCAAGAAGAAGTTTACAACGCCGCTGGTCACCACGCATTTGGGGAAGCCATCAAGGGCATGGAAATCCCCCTGCCTCTGGTGAAGACAGTCCCCATTCTCACTCTGCTCCAACAACAGCCTGAACTGGAACGCGTTTCCCTGCACACTGCCGCCCACCTAGTCAGCAAACAGAAAACCGGGATCTGAGCAGAGTCAAGAACCGTCCTTCTAGGAAGGACTCCCTCCAATAGAATAGAAGGTGTACTCTATGGATCTCACCTCCAAAGGACTTTCAGTGGCTCTGCATGTGACCACAGCTCTTCTCACACTGCTGCTGGGTCCTTTGGATCATTGAATTCCCACCTCCACATGCAGGCATGCACACACACACACACACACACACACACACACACACACACACGCTTTGTAGCTGAGGCTTGCTGTCAATTCCCCTCATCCTGCTTCCACCTCCCAAGGGGATCACAGGCATGCACCATCACACAGAGCTAATATTTTTATTTAGGGTTTATTGTTGTTGTCTTTGAGATAGGGTCTTACTCTGTAGATAAGGCTGGTCTCGAACTCACAGAGATCCTCCTACCTCTGCCTCCCCAGTGTTGGGATTAAAGGTGTGCACTACCATGCCCTGTAGGGATAAGTCCAGCCCCTTAGGGGGCATGTTCGCCTCGGGCTAATGTTTACCTATAAATCTGGCGAGTGTGCTCCTAGCTGACACTTCTGCTTTCCTGGTCTCCGCAGGAACGGTGGTTCTGTAAGTCTATTTCCCCATTAAAGCTGTATATATTTTTACAATCTGTCTGCCTTCATTTACGCCGTTACATTTTGGCATCCAACGTCGGGCTATTTTGCCCCCAACTCAAGCGCGTAGCCCACTAGCTAACACAGCACGCTCCTGGGTGCCGTTTTTTAGTTCGTGACTCGGCCCCGGTGCCGAGTCGGAGATACACTCTCGGACACACAGGCCCATTCTGCCCCGCCTGCTCGCCGGAGCAATTAACCCCTCCCTGCCTGCCTTGGCTAAATTTGCAGCAGAATCCCGCTGCCTGAATTAGCGGAAGCTCAAGTACCTGTGATTTTTCAACAAAAGCCGCCACAGTGGCAGATTTGGTCTGATACAAAGTGACTTAGCAGGGTGGTGGTGGCACATGCCTTTAATCCCAGCACTCAGGAGGCAGAGGCAGGCGGATCTCTGGGAGTTCAAGGCCAGCCTGGTCTACAAGAGCTAGTTCCAGGACAGGCTCCAAAACCAGAGAGACCACCACTGGCAGGAACCAGTCATTGCAGGTAAAAAATTTTTCTTTTATAAATAAAATGTTTGAACACATTACCATTCAAGACTTTAACAGTTTTTTTTTTTATTGTACCATGTGGGAGATTTTACAAGAGGTGTCTATCACCCCACATCTATGGATCCTTCTGGGATTCGTAGTTTTCATTGGTACTAAATGGTTTGATAATAGAAATATGATAAAGTCTTTACGAGACGAATTCAGGATTCTTAAGGCAGAGGTTGAACGCTTAAAAACAATTGAGAATGACAACAATCTTCTCAAGAATCAGTTTGAAGTTCTCCAGGAAGAGAACAGATCTTTGTTTAACATGACTCGATCAACTGAGCAAAATTTAGAAAAGGTACAGGCTGATGTTAAGGAGAAAT